AGAAGTTTGAGCTCTGATATTAATTTTATGTTCAAAATTCACTTGAAATGTTGGGTATAAATACAAGTTTCACAGGAAAGTTGTGGACTGTGGACAGAAAGTTACATGACTTAGTAGAGACGTGTGGAGGGGAATGATAAGGGTGCAAGGAGATTGGGCCCACAAAAAAGATCAAAAGGCAAGTAAATATATGCTTTATTTAAAGTTTGATAAATATAAGTAGTATTTTTGTTTTAATTTTTTTTAAAGAAAAGTGATTTGTTGGATTTTAAAAGATATTACAATAATGGGATTTGTTAATTACTTCAGTAAAGGTTTATGGCGTGGATTGTTGGGAGAGATGATGGAACAGAGCAATATCAAGAGGATAATATTAAAACGAAACAAAATTGTTACTTGAAGATGCTTCTTATGTGGGGATGGCAACGGGACTGGTCGAGGTCCAAACAACCTCCCCACCCCGTTTGGTAATTCTGCGCCTCTTATCCTTCCCGTTACCCGTTTAAGGCGATGCGGGACAAGGCTGTGATCTTGTCGCGTTTACTACCTGTTTAATTTTTTTTTTTTTTTATAATTCATTTTATTTCCCCCATTAAAGTGAGACAATAATATTTTTTAATTATTTTAAAAGTTCAATTATTCAAATATATTTGGTAAACTAACGTTTTTATCATTTGTCAAATTTTTTAGATAATTTAATTGCCATATTTTATTAGAACTAATGAAATTTCATGAAATTTTTCATTTAAAGCATTGAATTTTTTTTTAAAAAAATTAAAAAATTAAACGGGGCTGGGCTGGGCCTTTGTTACCCGTACCGATCCCGTCCCCGACCAGAATACCCGATTAAGCTGACAATCCCCACCCCGTTCGGAGCGAGGCCCGCAGATATCGGGTTTGACGAATTTTTTGCTATCCCTATTCTTACAACGTTATTAGAGGCGGAAAGTGAAATGAATTGTTAATGTAAACTTGACACATTTTATATTTTATTATGGATGGGGTCATGCTAGCCTATTCAGAAACTTGAGGTCTATCATGGCTTTATACCAAGNTAGAGGCGGAAAGTGAAATGAATTGTTAAGGTAAACTTGACACGTTTTATATTTTATTATGGATAGGGTCATGCTAGCCTATTCAGAAACTGTAGGTCTATCATGGCTTTATACCAAGAATGTGTGGAGTCGTCAGACTAACTTTCTTATAATTTTTAATTAATTTTAAAAATTAAAAATTCTATAGCTTTGGGAATATTTTATTTGAAGCTTTGATAGCACGTGCATTATTTAATAATTCCAATCACGTGGAACTCACCACACGTAGGCTTGCTTGCATTTTCAATTCGTTTATTGTCAACTTTATATATTACAATGTCACTTGCGGTTTTCCACCAAGAGGAACTACATAATAATATCGAATAGTTTATAAGTGTATTTTTTATACACGTATCGGACATTTGAATATAAATATTTTGAAGTTCTTTTGATTAATTATGGCCTAATTCATTGTATATTTTGTTTATTAGGTGAAAGACGATGAATAGAAAAGGAATTGAAAGAAAGAAGAGAAAATTAACAAAAAATGACAAAAAGAAAAGTATGGGGACTAAATTACAATATTTAAATAGTTGATTCAGACCTCAAAATGAAGATTGAAGACTTTATGAGTTCAATTGCATGTAAATAGAAGCTGAAGGACCATAATAGGTGGAATGCGAAGTGAAGGATCAAAAAATTGAAGAGGGAATAACGAAGGACCAAAATGCGAAGTTTGAAAGACGTTATAACTAGGCGACTACCCAGTTATGAAAGTTGGGCACCCTCTCAACATGAAGTTTCAAAAATAGTGGCTCAAAACGTTTGTACGATTTTTTTGACATAATTTCACCTTTATAAATACTAAATACATCCAATATGAAGAACCTCCCATACAACAAAAATCGTCAATTAATATCATCAAAGAGAAACCAATTCATCACACTTTTAGGGAAAACAAGAATCAATTGCAAGAATTGAGTTAATTGAAGAATGGATCTTGATTTTGGGAAACACGAGAAGATATAGTGGAGATTCATCAAGAAATAATTAAAAGGGTTCAAGATTTCAATATGTGTCTTCTTCTCTTTTATCAATCTACAATCTGGGTTTTGTTTCCCCAATTAATTATGATTTCTTGTGAGTTTGTAATGTTGGGCTAGGGTTTCAATTACTAAAACATTGATGAACCTTTATTATGATGTTTTAATATAAATTCAATAATTTAATGCCCTATTTGATAAGTCTTATTTTACAAGGAAAATGGAAAATGAATTTCATTTCCCACTTTTTGACATGTTTGATAGGTTTAATTTTCTAGGCAAAATGTTTTACCCTACCTTACGCGCCATTATTTCTTGGTTTTTGTTGAATTGCTTTTCCCACCATTTTGGTGGGAAAATGCAATTCCAAGTTTTTTTTTTTGCAATGAAAATAAATTTTATCATCAGTTGTAAAATTTTTTTTCATTTTAATGGACAATTTTCATATAAAACAAAATCAAACGAATACTAAATTTTGATGAAAAAATACTAAACTCGAAAATACTTTTTTTTTTTTTTTTTTCTTTTTTACAATAGAAACAAATTTTATAACCAATTGTGGAAAAAATTATCACTTTAATGGGCAATTTTCATGTAAAACAAAGCCAAAACGTACAAAAAAAATCCAAAATTTTTCTGGTGGAAAATTATACCAATCAAATACACTTAANAACGAACACAAAAATTAAAAATTTTGCGGATGGAAAATTATAACAATCAACCACACTTAATTAACAATTCTCTGTAAAACATTTTTTAGACAATTACTTTCCCTCTAATTCATTTTCTTTCCACCCATTTTCCACTCTTACAATCAAATGGACTCTAACATCCAATATGTATTCATTCTTGGATAATTGTTATATGATTTAATACATTATCAATTACTTGATAACTAAATGGATTGATTGTGAATTTTATTGATTTCAAGAGAAACGATAAGATTGATAGCACATTATAACAACCATTGTAAAGTTGGATAGGGAATAGAGATACACCCCTATACTTTAAATAATTTTTATAGATGTTCTTGTGTTTTTAATACATGCTTTCATGTTCAATCTTACATAGGAAAGTCACATGAGAGGATATATTTAATTGATATTGAGATATGCTTTTAATTAACTTAGGAACATTGATCAACAAAAATGTGCACATATTGTCAATTATTTTAGATTAAAATTGATTAATAAGGGGGATTCTAAATTTTAGGAACCATCCAATCCAAATTTACAAAAGCTCATAATTTGCTCATTAGAATTTTTTATTTTAGTTATATCTTTTTCATTTCAACCATCATACTATATTTTAGTATTACATCATTTGAAATATTCTTGTGAATTGGTAAATATTTTTTGAATCCTCGCATGTAAAATGTGTTTGTATTCGATGCTCTTCAATATTTAGAGTAATGTTATTTAGTATCACTGGTATTTAGGACTAGTTTAGGTGACAAAACTAATGGCATTAAATTATAAATTCAATTAAATACAAATAATTGTGGCATAAATAAAGTTTTAATATATTTATCACATAGAACAGTTTATTTTTTCCACCACAATTATAAAATATGCCAATTCAAATTACCATCTTTAGAACCCTAATTCCGGCAATAACAAAAAATATGGTGCTGTCAATGGATATGTTTGAGAGATTTTCTGAAATTTTATATTGAATTTTCCTTTACAAAATTAATCCTATGCAATCCAATTTCTTACGCGGAACTCTATCTTGTCAATAACCAGGATCGATTACAAACAATTTTACTTTTTATGTTGCTTAAAAGATTGAGAAAAACGAAAAAAATGGCTCCCTTGGCTAATCTAGTGTTTCCCTTATTCTTCATCCTATCTCAAGGAAGATGACAAAAAATCCAAAATGGGTAGAAAATATGAGAAAATGAGGAGTAATATTGGGATGATCAGTACACCACAATACTATATTTTCTTTTTCATTATTAGTTTTTATTGGATTAGGAGTATGATTGTAAATTTATTGTGGTGTATTCATTAAAAATATTTTTTTAATTGTGATGTGATTATAATGTAGTGTAATAAGTAAATTTTGTGTTGGCTATATAATTGCATTTAGACCATATTTGATTGTCACATTTTCCATGAAAAATGTCACATCCGAGGAAAACAAATTTTATTTTGGCCGTTTGATTGCAACGTGGAATGGAAATTGAATTTCAAGATACAACCACTTTAATCTGCATTTTCTTTGTTTTCATGGAAAACGAATTCTTATGAGTTTGGTGGATTTTTATTTTTCAACTAATATGAAATTAGAATTCATTTCCACCTTTACCCATCAAACGGACCTATTCTATTTTTTATGCACAACTTTTTACACAATCAACGCTTCTAGTATCTATAAATGTTACTTTACCCACATTATTAGGTAGTGTTTGCATTTGA